TACCACTCCCTTCCATCTTCTCACTTGCTGCCATAGATTTTGAACTGTCGACCTTTGGATGAAGCTCCACATCCAGCACAGATAATTGCTCATGAAGTTCTCGTTCCTGTATAGCCGGCCTAGCGATGTAACAAAACAACAACAACAACAACAACAACGTATTTGCAGCTCTTCGCCCTCCAAGCGTCCTCTCGTGGCTACTTTCTTCCACTGACAGTCTCATTGCCTGCCATGATGCTGAAGCCCTCGCCCTTCGGATTCCACCCGAGTTCAACCGCCGGTAGCCCCAATCATGGCCGGTCTTCCATATTGAGCAGGGTTCGAAAACCTTCCTGAAGCTCACTTGTCTCCACCGTCGAAGATCATCCGTGCTTGTTCGTTCCCCACTAAGGCGTTAAACGCCCGAGTCCTTTCCCATGGCCCGTCTTCCCTTGGCCGCCGCCTTTCAAAGTGTTTTACTTTTACACTCTTCCACTTGCACCCCCTTCCGGCCTCGACTGTGCTCTCCCCTGGGACCCCGGGACTTCACCCAAGCCTACCCGCCTGCTCTACTTCTACTGTCCTTCATCTGCTTGGCCCAAGCGTTCATCCACCCTATCTCCCCATTCCTAATGTCACGGTTCCGCTAGCTGCACAGTTAGTCCAAACTCACTCACCTCTGAGAAGCCCCTACTGTCCTGATTGCTTGTCGCTCACATTCAGAGATGTGTATGTCCGAAATCCGGACTTCCCCCAGTCCTACTCGTCATCAACGAGGTGTTCCATCGGAAGGACGCTGCTTCCCAGCGTTCTTCGTTTCAAGCTTGTTCTGGATTGTTCTGTTGGTCCGCGTAGGCTCTCAGGGCAATCAATGCTGGGAGACCCCATAGCCACCATCTTCATAGAGTCTGCTCAGTCAATCCCCTGTTGTGCAGGGTAATCAATGCTGGCAGACTTCACACGGTTTTTCACCTTCGTAAGATGTTTCCTTTCAAGGGACGATGGACCCGTTTTCCAGCAGGTGATGCTCCCCACTAAAAGATGGAGCCTCTCCCCAGGTCTTAGTGGTGTCTGCTCTTACCAGCAGCACTAACACTGGTGGGGGAGTTAAAAAAAAAGGTAACATCTTTCTTTGACGGTTCAAAGGTCTTCGTTATGCCCACCGCCACTGCTTTCAAAAACCTCCATCAGATACGGACAGGCTCTTGTCTACTCGTGCTCGACCCAAGCTCGGATTGACAGCTGAAAGAACGCGTCTCTCCCAGTGCTAAGCGCTCTGGGCTATGGCGCTGAGCCCCACGCCTACGAAACCCTAAACAGGATAGCGCGCGCGTCACGGGAGCAGAGCGCTGCGGCGCCGGCATCCCACTTCGTCCGTTTTTAACTTGCATGATTTCGATCCTTGTTTGTTTTGCACTCATTGTTTGATGATTGTCATAATGAATCATGATTGAAAAAAAAAACTAAAAAAAAATGCTGTTTGTCATTACGATGAGCGAAGGGAGTAGGAATACTAGGGGCGGAAAATAGGAAAAAAAGGAATACTTTGGGGTGGGGTTGGGCGAAGGAATACTATGGAAATAAAATAAGAAAAATTTGGAAATGTGCATGATGTCTCTTGGCAGGGATTGGTCCTTGACTTTGGTAGGGATTTGTGTCTGGCTGAGATTTGTTGGTCTTGGTCCCTGGTTGAGTTTCTTTGCTACTTTGGCTTATTTGTGTATAGAGTGCCATAATCACAAACTCCACAAGATCTTCACGCGATACCAGGAGCAGCACTGCTTAAAAAACCCTAGAGCCCCCATTTCCTCCATGTGCTCCAAAAGAGCAGCCTGTAGGAATGACACCCGCAGCAAACGCTCTCGGAGCCTCCTCGTGATGATACTGTGGTCAAAACTCCGAACATACATTCCCACGCCAAAAAAAACGTGCGGCCACCCACAAGCGTTCCTTCATTGAAAAGACAGCCCATGCACTAAAACAGGTTCCATGCGGCTAAGGAATTAGGCCATGAGTAGTTTTCATAAATTGAATTGAATTGAATTCAATGGTTTTTCCTATAGATATTGTCTCAAAATAGTAAAATACAAAATTGTTGCAAGCATCCATACTCAGGTTCCATGCGGCTATGGCCGCCAAGCCTCACTCAGGTATGTACTCTCTCTCTCTCTCTCTCTCTCTCTCTCTCTCTCTCTCTCTCTCTCTCTCTCTCTCTCTCTCTCTCTGACAGGTAATGGTCACCGGTCCCCCAGGGCCCGTCGGCAATTGCCGCAATTGGCGGTTCAGGAAGTCACCGGGCCTTCCTTGGATGCTGCTGCTAAATTTAGACTGGGACTTGACCTTTTCCTGTCGGGTGCAGGACCTGCCGGATTCTGCCGAGGTAAGACACCTAATGCCTCAAGGCTTGAATCGGCATTTCAGCCACTCGGCCTGCTGGTCTGACGATAGTACATGGGACCGGGATCACTGGGACTCCGGGACCAGGATACGGGACTTGACTGAGACATGATATCCTTTCAAAGAAAAACGACAAACATTTAAGGAGAATAAACGAAAGAAATAGAGGAAGGCAACAGAACACCAAGGACCACGACATTGTCAACATCGCATCTGACTCACTGGGAAGCAGAACATCCAAGCTCGTAAAACAGGGCGGCTGAGGTTCTTGAAAAAAAAAAGACAAGACAAGACAAGACAAGAAAAAAAAAGAAATGGGGAGGTTACACAGCACATATGTTTCATGACCGACTTTACATTTCAGATACCCATCATAGGCTGACGACTTAAGCACTGTCTGCAAGTTGCTCGCCTTGGAGGTGATGCAAGCTTGAGTTGTTGAACGTAACGCTGCTGCTGCCAAAAAGGGACGGATGATCCATTGCCTGGCCGTGTGGCAACTGCCTCTCTGTCTCCCAGATTCTGAAAATGGACCCATTAAACAGCTCATCCGTCTGAAGAGGGTATTACGGTACACACATGTAAGTGTTAGCAGACCTAAGTTCGAATCCTGATGGAATCCGATAAAAGAAAGAAAGAAAGAAAGAAAGAAAGAAAGAAAGAAAGAAAGGAAGAAAGAAAGGAAGAATGAAAGAAAAACAAAGAAAAACAAAGAAAAACAAAAAAAGAAAGAAAAAGAGGGAAAGAAAGAAAAAGAAAGAAGGAAAGAGAGCACAGAAAAGGAAATGGATCATTCAGGAAAGCACAGAATCATCACCCAGCTCCCTCATCATCAGCAGCAGCCGCTGGACCATTCGTCAGCGAAAGGGCAGCTGCTAAAGAATGGGAAATGTACAAGAAATACTAAGATCAACCCACTATGAATCAAGTCTACGAGCTTCCACCAAAAAGGTGTATCACTTAACCAATAGGTAGTGAGCTGGGATGAACGTGAAGCCCGTTGAAGGACATTTCACCCAGCATGGAACATATCCATGTGAGATGTACAAGCAGTCCCAAGATCAACCCACTCTGAATCGAACCTACGTGCTTCCACCAAAGAGGTGGATCACTTAACCAATAGGAAGTGAGCTGGGATGCCCGTGAAGCCCCTTGAAGGACTTTTCACCCAGCATGGAATATAATAATATATCCATGTGACAAGATGTACACGCAGTCCCAAGATTAACCCACTATGAATAGAACCTACGATCTTCCACCAAAGAGGTGGATCACTTAACCAGTAGGAAGTGAGATGGGATGAAAGTGAAGCCACTTGAGGGACATTTCACCCAGCATGGACTATATCCATGACCCGGTGCATATACCCCATGCTGGGGCGGGGTGAAATGTCCCTCAAGGGGATAACTTTCAACCCCCCCCCAGCTCACTTTCCTATTGGTTGAGTGATCCACCTCTTTGGTGGAGGGTCGTAGGTTTGATTCCTAGTGGGTTGATCTTGGGACGTCTAATATATTTGCAAGTTAACCTGAGTTTCACATGCTGATTAGTAGGCATCATCCGGCGACCACAACATAATATGCCGTCTGCTACAGATGGGCAATAACCGAACTGTCACGTCTTGATGCCGATCAGCCGGTGTCATCAGCCATCCAGCAGAGAGGGGAGACCCTTGCTTTCACATGTCCATGAGTTGGCATCATACTTGCGAGTGCACGTCGTGCGGGCTGTTCCTTACGTGCGGCACATGCACCCAACTGATCCCGTGCGGCGCACGACGTGTGCGGGGAACGACCCGTCACCCCCCTCAGAAAAAAAAAGGCCGGGTTCAAAATGGTGCATTTGAGGCCCCCCGCCAAAATACAAGCGAGATGAAAAAAAAAATTACAGGAGTACTGCCTCACCTTGCTCCTCCTCCCCTTCCTCATCCTCAATGTCTCCTCCTCCCTTCTCCTTTTCATCTCCTCCGACTCGTCCTCCTCCTCCTGCTCTTCCTCATCATCCTTGTCTCCTCCTCCTCCTCGTACTTCCTCATCTTCCATGCCTCCTCGTCTCCTTCCCTTCCTCATGTCCTCCCCTTCCTCGTGTCCTCCCCTTCCTCGCCGTCCATGTTTCCTCCTCCTCCCCCTCGTCCTCCTCCTCCTGCCCTTCCTCTTTTCCCTCCGTCCATCTCTTCTCCTCCCCCTATCTCGACTCCTCGTCCTAGTCGTCCTCGCTATCCTCGTCGTCCTCCTCGTCCACATCCTCCTCCTCCTCTCCATATCCCCCTCTCCTCGCCATATCCCCATCTTCCTGTCATACACCCCCCCCGTTCCCCCTCCCAGAAAAAGATAAAAAACAATAATAAAAATAAAAAACCTGCACGATTCCACACAGGCACCCCCCCCCCACGGAACTCCGCACGGAACTCTGCAAGAATGTGCGGCTCGTGCGGTTGCAAGAATGGTTGGCATCGTCTGCCATGCATGTTGTGTCTCACAGAAACAGGCATAACCAATCCTTGTTCCAAGTTTCCATTGGACATAGACACATCGATGACATTACCTCCAATCGTGCACATCGTACAACTGACGCTTGCATGCAATTCAATTTAGTCAATTTGTTAATAAACTTCATTGGAGAAGTTATTTGTACAATATTTGTTATGAAGTTAATATGAACCTGTTCTCGCTCTCAATTGCACACCGCGATGGTAATCTTCACAAGCTACGAACGGAGAACCAGGGCCCTTGTCATACATTTGCTTCCGGATGTGAACATGTCCGTCATCGATGCACTTCCATTTGTCGTTATTCCAGGGGGGGAAATGGAAGCAAGCATCTCTACTCTGCCAATTGAAACAGGACCTCGCTCTCGCTTCGTTGTCCGCTGCATTGATGGAACTAATATCCCAACCAGAGTTAAGTTGCTGAGGGTTCACCAAGCCCGCAATTGCCTGCGAGAAGTAACCAAAGGTCGACCAATGGCTAGTGAAAAGCACATCACTCAAACCCAGAAGCCACATATCGACAAATGCTGCCTCATTGTGTTCTACTAGGGATGAATGCTGCTCCGTTTCCAAGATCTCCTGGTGTACGATTACCCTATCACCGGTCGCAGAGGGCCTTATGCCATATATTCTTTTCAGAGTCTTGTAATACACGTCGTGCAGAGAAGCTACCAATACAGTTACACCACCTTTACTTCTTCTACTCTGAGCATAGTATCCGGCCCCCTCTACACCATTGCCGCCCCCGTTCGTGCTGCTTTGCCCTCTAGCCCGGCGGAAGCTGTCAGCTTCGAAGAGTAGCACACCCTGCGGCTGGTGCTCGGGGTCAACAGTGGAAMCTGCAGTTCCACTCTCAGTCTTATTTCGGATCTTCCCTGAGATCRGGCYCAGGTCTGGCACCTGGACCTCKACTGTGTCTCTTGTGACCCTCAATGAGACCCCTGGTTKTGGCAGCACTCCTCCATTGATGAGGCAATCRAGCAGGCCTGCCAATCTTTTTGTGGGGTTATCGTCCATTTCACGCAYTTGTACCCCCACAAGCCTGTCMGTTTTCGACAGATAGAACCTGTGAGTTCTTGTGATCCTCTCCCAAACCTCGTCCTYGGGCAGGAACAGGAGGCGAGCCAGGCGCGTGTACACAATGCCATCCGGAAACCACYGGTTCAGCMTCTCGCTGAAMTGCGGCATGACAAACAACCCGGGAATRAAGTACTGGTTGCTGTACATTCCAAGCCACTTGACCTTGGACAAAATCTCCTGCTCSCGGACGCAGAAGAAGCGTGCATTTTCACCAARTGTCTCGCTGACCTGATATATCTTCACTGACRCCCACCRTGGAGRMCGGCCTRTTGGTATTTTGCCAGGATCGGGTGATTCAAGCTCCTTCCTTACTCCTGTGCTGTTGTCCCTCTCCTGTGACTTGTTGGCAGCAATCACAAGAGGCATGCTTGTACTCCTCATCGCAGCGGATATGTCAGCAGTATCGACGCCATTAACAGCAGAGATGTTAGTCGCAGACATGTTAGCAGCAAAAATGTTAGCAGTGGAGACTTTAGCTGCAGCGATGTTAGCAGCAGAAATGTTACCAGCAGAGATGTTAGGGGTCAAAAGACTCGAAACTTGCGACTTTTTGGCCATTGCAGTTACACGGGCTGGCCTGGTTGCCTCATCAACAGCAACGGTAATGTTCGGCGCATTTCTGAATGACCGGCCACTGATCCCCTTGGGCGCTTTCCATGAGTGATTGGTGAAGGGTTCGCATATCAGATGAGGCATGTCCTCTCTTGTTTCCACAAGAAGAACGCGCCAGGTGAGGACAGAGTAAGGGAAGGTTGATGCCAGGGATGCAAATCGATTCCCGAGTCCATCCGATGGGCAAAACCATACAATATATGAGCAGCCAGGCAACTCTTCTCCACCGCTGCTTCGCTTCTCCGACGAGAGGTGGCCTTCTGCTCCTGTGTCATCAGACTGCTTCTTGAAATTGGCGACCAAGTCCACGCCCACCACGCATGATCTGTGGTGCTCCTCGTACTTGTTCAAAAGCTCCTCCAGCTTGCTGTCTAATGTCAGGTTTGTCCCATAGCGTAGGTACTGGGCAATTTCCTTCCTGCTGCGGCACGAAAACGGATTGACCCCAGCATCCACTTGAAGTTCAGCGGGCAGAGATGTAACATTTCCTCTCCCTTCACCACTCTGAGGCTGAGTTTGGATTGGAACGGTTACGGCTAGTGAACCTTCTGCTGTCCGGACAGAGCTCAAGTCCCTTCTGCCTTGGTTTGATGATACTGAGCAGTTCTTCAACCTGGCACTGTGATGATTGGATTCTGACACATTTTGAAAACTGTGAGCGTCTGATAAATTTTGAAAACTGGGAGTGTCCAATTCTGACACATTCCGAAATCTGTCAGCATCTGATACATTTTTAGATCTGTGAGTGTCCAATTCTGACACATTCCGAAATCTGTCAGCATCTGATACATTTTTAGATCTGTGAGCATCTTCCTGTCCATCCGTTTGCATTCGAATCGTGGGCAGTTGATCGTCCACTGTCCATACGTATGGCCACCAGTTGTCTCTCTGGACAAGGAGCTTCACCTGTGAGAAACACACAAGGAAAAACCCGATGAACACAGTTAAACGCACCTTGCCATGGTCGAGCATTGCCATCTGCCTGTTTGGCCGTGGCCTACTGTGCTTTGGCTGATGGGCATGATGGGCACCATGCCATCTTTGCATGCTGGTTATCGCTTGCGCTCCCATCATCTTCACTGACTTCCTCTCTCAAGCTGGTTGATGGAGAAGACGGCACTGATCAGACGATGTCCTGCAAGCATAGGAGGAGGAAACGATGGTCATTGGAATAGCATTGGATGAAATGCATAAACTCCCTGATGCCAACTCAAAAAGTGGACAGTCATTCCAGTCTGTGGCTTT